TACACCAGCTCCTATTGTGTCTGGAGGTGCAAGACACCAGTTACCTGCAACTGAAAGAAGAACTGGGTGGGGCAGACTCACATTCCTATCTAGATGAAGTGTTAACAAAAAGCAGCACACAAAAAGCATTCATTAGGAGAGTCGAATTTCTTTGGGGACAAAATGATGCTCTCCAGGATTTATCCGACTAAAAAGATCATGAAATAAAGACTCTGCAAACATCTCAGAGAAATATTACCACCATAAAGAACAAAGAGGGAGTATCCTGGACCCCGAAATCCACCACTTTTCTGTACTTTCAGAGGTACCAATGTGGCAGGAAACCAGGGCTCATGCTGCCGCTGAGCTAAAGCAGTAGAGGGGATGGCGGCTTCTCTAGGATCTAACACGTCCTGAAGCAGACCAACACTATGTCCCAACGCACTGGTGTTGGGATGTCTGCCCCCGGTGCCTGTCCGGGTCAATAAAGCAGTCAAGCATCATGTATGTTATGTTGAGCATTCTCAACCAACAAATGTGGGAACTCCCACGAAAAGACCAAAACAGATCTAAAGAGACACTTAACAACATTGGAAAAATAGACTTCAATTTGTTTATATAATTTAAAAAGCGTATATTATTGCCCACGTTAAGGGGCCTGTTAATAATTTAATAAATTATTAGCTATTTTAGATTTAATAATAAAATGGCTTATCTCTATTATGTTTAGCCAAAGAAACCACCATTATCCAAACTAACAATAGTAGATACAGAGTAATCACAGCTGTCTCGACTCCATTTGATCTGAGGGGTAATTACATTCGTAAAGCACTTTTACATCTTTATCGTGAATTTTCGTGGTAACACAATAATGCCACAATTCGGTAATTTGATTTAGAACTAAAAGTAGCTAAACTAATTCAATCTGTCCATTCTTAGAGTGGCTACAGATTACAACTTTGAGCATGAGTTTACCTCAAGTCGTGTGTAACGTTGCAAACTTTTATAAGCAATAACCTACCTATCTTCTAGCATCGATGTATCTAATCCTGCACAAGATTCCGGTTGTTCCCAACAAGTGTCAGTATCAGTCTCTAAAACCATTCTCTATCACCTAGATAAGTGTACTTATTATTGTGTGCAGTATGTACTCAAAGATTCAACGAGGGTTACAATTCAACTATAACAAAAAACACCTTCACGACATTAAATTAGATTGGACATTATTAATCGATAATATGGTTGAAAACTGGATATACGTATTTTGACCCATAACATAACATAACATAACATAACATTATAAATAATGCCTCTCTGGGCATCTCAAAAAGAAATTCATAGAAAATGAACACTTTACGTTTGAAACCATATAATTACAAACTTTTTTAAAAAAATTCAACTAAATACCTTTGATATTAACCTTCTTCCTCTTAGCTACCAATGGATTCTCTTTCATATAACTTACATAACTATTCCTATTAGACACAGACACATCTATCCTATCAAAGATGTCATATGAAAGTTCCCAGTGATGAAAGTTCCCAGTGACTCCCTCACTGCTCACTAGTATTTCCTATAGGAAGAATTTATTTGTCATCAGACTGCTGTGCAGAAATAAGAACAGTACTTGGAATTCTTTTCAGTAGCTCTTTTAATAGCCGTATATATATATGTAAAACACACCATTCCCTCTGAAGGAAACAAATTTTAGGAAAACAAGTTTAAATTTTGGTATTTATTAAGCAGTTGAGGCTTCTCAGTTCCTAAAACATCTCGCTGAAAAGATCAGCCTTAAGAAAGGCCAACGGTATTGTGATGTGATGGCATTTGTCAGACGCAGACTGCGCTTTGATCTACTCAGAACCTGTATAATATCTATCAGGGGATACAGAGGTACCAGAACTCTTCCACCCACGGCAATACGTGATTTAGACCTTAACCTGATCAACACTCCTAAACCCTAAAAGGTCATGATGGGGGTCTAAACTGCTTTTTGTTGTGATGTGAATTTGTTATATATATTATTGCAAAGGGTTTTTATTTTTACCTCAGTTTTTAAAATTTGTACCATTTTTAAAGAATTTTTATATAGGGTCATTGCTATATTATGTGTATATTGTTAGAAATGTCAAATACTGTGTAATATAACATGTAGGCCTTTATTAAGTAAAACAAAATTTAAATTTTATTGCCATATTACAATGAATAATAATATCATAATAAACATAGTTAAACTTAAACATCCGATAATAAACTCATGAATATTGGATATGCTAACAAAATGTAAAATACGCTTTTTACTATATACTAGTGAACTACTCGAAAAATCGTCTCAATCATACATTTTTTCAGCACAATTAAAAATTTAAATGAAAATTCTAAAGCAGAAGTGAACGTTATGAAAAAAAATTTAAATAGAAAAATATTTCCTCAACTGACTTGTTTTCTAAATGTTTAAATTTCATGAATAAATAGTCCATAATGTTTTGTTTCACGTTGTAGCCCTGCCGCGCACGAGTAGTCTATGTAATAAGCGCCATGAGCTGGCACAGAATTTTTTGTCTCTGATTTTGATAAATTTGGTACCAAAAGTTGCCTCTAAGTGTGACTAATGAAAATTCACCGTGTATCACGATAACGTCGAGCTGTATGTGGGCCTTTTGTGCATCACAACAGTGTACAAAGGACGAAAAATGGGTAATTTATTGCTTAAAATGCCTATAACTCCTAACATATTGAATATTTTGAAATAATTCATACAGGATCGTAATGAGCTTAGTCGGACGCAACTTTTAGTACCAAAATTATAATATTTGTGATTTGAAGAACAAAAATTTTCAAAAATTTGTTCAAAATTTCACACAAGGGGGTACCCTTGTGTTCAGATTAAAAATTTTTGAAAATAATTTTCCTTTAAATCTTAAAATATTAGTACTAAAAGTTTCGTCTCGATGAGCTGATTACGATGCCATAATATTTATGTGATAATAACTGAAAATGTGAAAGTTATAGGCCAAAAACTAAAAATCTGCGCGAAAAAAGCACGCGCGGCGAACAAGCGCCGTGTAGCATTTTCAGCGAAAATTGCTACACGGTGGTTTTATTTCATTCACATTTTTAGACAACTTTTGGTACCAAATTTATCGAAATCGGAGAAAAAAAGTTCTGTGCTCGCGCTTGGCGCTTATTACACTGACTAGAGTGCGTGGCTTCGTCATTCGTGGCTTTGATCATCACAAAACCATTTTGTGCAGTGACAGGGGATTACGACGTGTTACAAATAATTCCATGTTATATTGGAATAACGACATTTTTGTTGCACATGTTCTGAGACCAGAGATGAAACAGTACTAGACTTAAAACGGCTGGCGAAAGGAACCAGTTGCCTGTTATAGCTATTAGCTTTATTATTAGTACCCGAAATACCGTTTCTAAAGCACTACCCCAAGCCTAATATCATCTGCAAGCACAAACATGTATAAATTGTTTAAAGATTTTCACACCATATCAATAACAATCAAAACATATCATATCATAAAAATAACGCCGCGCGTTGGTTGCAGGTTGACTTTGTAGGTTTACGACCTACCAGGACTTGACGAATGTTACTCGTCTAAATGTCTTCGAAGTTGCGCGCGCCACTTTCTTCTCGAAATGTTGGCCCGATGGCAAGTGCTACGAAGTAGCGCGCGCCGGGCCAGACCATTAACAATGGTCAAACCAGGACGTGCGCCGAGTTGGACTCGTCGACGGTCCTATGTAATATTGAATATATGGAACAGATATTTTACGAGTATCGCCCGTTAAACGAGATTGTGCTCTGCTTCGCAGAGCAACGATTTGTAAGGGTTGACATTTTGATCTAACCAGGGCCCTTTCGCTTGCAGTAGCGCTCGACCGCCGCTTGTCAAACAAGCGCGTCACGCAGTACGAGTATACACATGCCTTTGTGAAGTTGACATCGCCAATCAAACAAAAACGAGAAACGGGCTCACGTCACTGCAAGCGCAAGGGCTCTGGATAGAGCAATATGTAGTTTATGCAAAGTTAATAACATAAATATTCCTACGCCTATAAAATTCACCAAAGTGCAGTTGCAGCTTTAGGTTGCGCGGCTCCGCTTTATCATTATCTAATAATTGGTGATTTGATGAACGCAACCAAATCGAATAAAAAGCTACAAATCAAAAAGTTTAACAGTGCAATAATTTACAAATTTTGTACTAAATTTGCTAGTGATTTACTAAAATCCATACCTAGTAATTTAAACTGGTTTCACTGTTATCGTTGATTCACGATGTCAATCCTTCGCAGCTCGGTGAGGCATTAATTGACGATGTCAATTCATGGCAGCTCGGCGCGGCACAGTAACGCATCGCGCTACAAGGTGAGGCACAGTGGTGCATCTCGCCGATCTACCGAAGTGGTTGCGAGAAGCATTATTTGATGCGCGCGCGACCCAGTAGTGCATTGCGCTACAACTGTTATCGCTGCGAATCGTAAATTTAAGATTGCAACGCTTCTCGCTGTACACAATTTCAAATCTTTTGGCAGGACTACGACTCTTCCACCTTTGATTGCGGGTACATGATCATTCGTCAGGGACTACCATTTAGGCTGTAAAGCTTCTTGCGATCACTAAAGAGTGATGGCACATGATAGGCCTAAATCTGCTATCTAAATACTGGTCTACATTTTGTCAGGTAGCTCCATTGTTGTATGTAGCTCCATTGTTGTATGTTGGTTAGTAGTCATTTGATAGTGCTATAGGAGAGCTGCTTAGAATTTAAATTTTGTAATGAAATGCACTCCATTTGGGGCAAGTCCTTGACCGTGCGAAAGGATCCTGTAACATCAGATATAGTGAAATTACCAAGGCCAGATCTACTTACTCATGACAAAAATTTATATGTAATTTCTTAAAATCTAATGCCAGGTAACAGACCGAAGCTGCGTTAAAACTTACTCTATGATATGCTTGTGTTACTGTAGTATGTAGTTGTATCTCGCTTTCTTATGTCATCTAATCACACATTTAACTGTATCAGCAGCTCTAGTCCCAGGGCACACCATACAATTCAAGAATGTATATCCACAGGTCTGTACTCCTCAACAAAGATTGTAGCCCCACGTTAATTCATTTGCAACTGTCTGAACCCTCGAAGATGGTGCCATGCCTGAAAATCAAATGATGAATTAATACATTGAATCCAGCACTAATCAACCAACTAGGCCACGTGCTTATGTCCGAATATAACATAGAAAATGACCTATTACATGTATTCCCTATTCACTTAACGTGTGTTTTTACGATTCTAGTTTCTGCAACTCTATTCAAAAAGTCCTGAATTTAACATTTTTTCGATAATTCGCCACTTATGTTCTGGATCTTTGAAATAGCTGACTATTTTAACTCCGGAATATGCCCTGACTTATGATTCTAATCTGGTCTGCAGGCGCAGGTGGAAGGTTCACTGCATCCTGTCATAGGTAAATCTTGGAGTTTACTGGAGCTAGAGTAACATGTTGACTATTAATGCTGCTAGAAGAGTAATACGAACACCTAGTCAATCTTACGCAAGGAATGTTATCCTATGCTAGTAATGGTTGAGTTGACACTGTATTTTATTTGTAAGATTATATCTAAATTAAACCCCAAACTTTCGAAGGATTAACGACCAATGATTTTGCAAAACGTTTGTGTTGTTAAATTGCTTTCTGTGTTTGTAAATTTATCTGCAACTTATTTATAACCCTTGTATTTACGCCTTCAGTTTACAAATCAGTGAAACACAAATATAGTATATGTTTGCTATGTACATGCAATATTGTAATCTAGATAAATGTTAGCGATTCTAGGATTATAATACTCATTAATGCATCCATCAATGACCGCCATAGGGCTGTTGGATATCAGATGTTAATTTAGGTAATCTATCCTTATTTATGACAGATCCTTAAAACACATGTTTTAGTAGTTGCCGGCTATGTCTTCTCTAATAGCTAAGTATCATGGCTCTGCAGACTCTCCTAATGTTGATCTTTCCATGAAGCTCTTCGTTGGGCAGGTTCCTAAGAATATGGAAGAGAACGAACTTCAGCCCTATTTTCAGAAGTATGGTCCAATATCGAGTGTTAAGGTCTGCCGTGATCGAGATTCAAAGAACCATAAAGGTTGTGCCTTCGTGACTTTTGAGAATCTAGATCATGCTGACGAAGCTTTACATGAAATGCATGATAGAGTAGCACTGCCTGGTGCAAAGAAAGAAATGCAGATTAAACCAGTTCACATTGAAGACGAAAAGAAATTTGAGAAAAGATTATTTGTAGGAATGATTTCCAAATCATTGACCACCCCAGAATTGGAGGACATGTTTTCAAAGTTTGGAGAAATTTCGGACTGCAATATTTTGAACTCTCAGGACAAAACCAGTCGTGGATGTGGGTTTATCAAGTTCGAAAAAGCTAGTAGCTGTCTGCTTGCTATTAAAGAGGTACATCACAGCCAGACTATGGATGGTTGTAACTCTCCCATAGTTGTGAAGCACGCTGATAGTCCAGCAGACAAGATGAAACGTCAGGCAGGACCAGGATATGAGGAGAGGCCAAGTAAAAGACCCTTCATGCCTCAAGGTCCAGGACCATACTCCCAACCTCCTCCACCGCCTCACTTCAACCACCCTCCACCACCACCAGCTCAACAGAACTCCACTGCAATGGCCCTAATCAATGCCTTCACTCCGCTTCTAGCCACAGTTGCTGAGCAAAACAGTCCTGGCACAACCAAAATGCTTGTCAAATCGATTGAAATTGCACTGAATGCTCTGCAACATGAGAACAGTCCATCCGCCCACACAGCTCTTGTTTCAATTGCAAGTAACCTCTCTGTCGCTGTAGCCAACAACCTCTCTCGTGCCCAACCTCCAAGCACTTACAACAGTGCAGCTTACAACGCGAGCGCCGGAGACTACAACCAGAACAATACTCAAGAGTATCAGCAGTACAACTACCAGTACCAAAGTCAAGGAAGTGGTTACTCCGGCACTGGATCTTACTATAACAACCAGCAGCCCAATGGTAATCACCACCAACATTACAACTACTCCAGTAGACCTAACTGATGAGGTAAGCAAGTTCAGTTTGTTTTAAATGTGTACTGTCATTAAAGTATATCTAAAACTCGTGCTTTGTCAACCTGTTGAAAACGTTGAAATTTGTCATTGTTTTGAAAGTTAAAAGTGTCAGAGAGAATTCAACCGTAAAAAAGGAATTCAACCATGCCATACAAAAGAGAATTCAACCGTACAAACTATCAACCGCCATTTTTGTTCAGGGTAATGTTATTCCTGATGTTATCGCTCCATGATTGTACTGTGACAAGACATGACCCCGTTGTGCACCGTTGTGCCGTGTTCTGTTCGACGTGTGATGACGTCATCGTTCCTGTTGGGCGCACAAACTGTTCGTGCCGCTAGGATGGGGGGAGGTTATTGCCTATTTTGGCTAATTTTGGATTTCCCCTTAGTGGATTTTCAAACATGGTCATAATTAGGGTGGCCATAATTAGCCAAATTTAGCCGAAATTGGCCATACCTTCCCCCCTAGGATGTGTAGTCGTGTTCATATCCTGGCTAAGGCAATATTGATTTGTTATTTAAGAACTAACTTATTGGATAACACATCCCCCACTGACTGGTATATGTTAATAAATGTGTTTCACTGCTAATGCACGGCTGTCTTTGGTTATAGTTACCCTTTATTATTTGAAGCACAGTTTATTTAATCTTTTATCACGCCGTAGTGAATGTTCTGTTTTGCAGAGGCACACAATTTTAATTTATTCCGAAAGGATTGTTATTGTTGACTGCCCAAATGTTGTATCTGGTGTTTCAATTTAGAGTATTGTTGGTCCGAAACATTGTGTTAAAATTAAAATGCCTTGTTGGAAAAGAGATGTTTTTCCTTCTCGAATCTTCCCCCAAAGTTTTGTTCTATGTCTCGTAAATCCCATGAATCTGTCCAGTTAATTCTCAAACAAGTTGTAAACAGTAAAAAAAAGGTCACAAATTATTTGTACGATTTCATTATATTAATTAATATCTTAATTAATTATTGTTCATTGTAGTCAACGGGCACAAAGAAGCACTACTAGCAATTGTGTCCTTTACCCTCCTACATAATTTGAACATTTTTGTGGCTAACTCATTGAACAACATCCGAATTAAAATGTGTCTAGTATTAAAAGATTCAGTAAGTAATTTTTCATGTACGCTGTACACTGTAGTTAGTAATATATAAATCAAATCAAACTTTTTCGATCAGCCGCGCGCTGAACCAGTGTTGCACTAGGTAAAAATTGTGTATATTTTGTTCATTTTTGAGTGTAAATTAATTCATTAATTTATCACAAATTATTTTATTATAATATAACCACTTATGTGAAATGGTTATTTTGACTTTAAATATTTGAACTAAATATGAATTGATTGTGGGTATAAAATAAAATTTGTTTTACTAAAAAAAAAATTTGTTTTACTATTTAATTTTAAGATACCATGCCGAAACTAACAGTGGAGTATAAAAAACAAGCAGTCCCAGCGTTTATTGCAAGATTTAAAGCAGAAACTGGCTATCAAGAGCATGATATAAAGGATAAACATGGAGATTTGGACGACGACGGCAAAGTAAGTTTTTGATTTTTTCCTTGTTGATGTGTTACTGATTTGCCTATCTGCGGTATTAGTTTAAATTTTTCGAGACTAAGGGTAGTTCCTATTCAGCGGTACTGCACCAATGTTTCATTGAGAGATCATCATTCTCACAGTTTTGTGCTATGATAGTTGAAGATATTTACTTGAATTCCACAGGAATTGAAAGATCGAGACGATGAGCGACCACAAGTAGTTCAACTGTCACAGAATGATATGACAGCTGAGGAAGCGAAACAGCACTGGGACAAGGAAGAGGCATCTGGAAAGAAGACTGACGATCTCAGTGAAGGTGAGATTTCAATATTTGATAATTTCATTACCTTAGTATGCATCGATCTCGAGTGTATCCAAGATCTTCGATGCGGAAGTGTGGAAAATACGGGAAATAAAATTTGCTTCATTTAAGTGCTTACAAGCATAACTCTCACAACTGACACCATCAAATTAAACCACGATAACATCAATTGTTATTGTGGGTCGACTGTATGGAAAATCGAGAACATGCAATTATTTATCCACTGTCTTAACTTTTTCAGTGGACTCAAGGTTGTTTTACACTTCACTTGATTTCAGGAATGTTAGTTTTTACATCGTTCTTTTGTGCTACGTATCTAACGATATTTTTTGTAGGAAAGGAACAAGAAGAAGAAATCGAGGAGCCGTGGGACGGAAAATTTAAATTCAGGAAATCAACGAAACGTCCAAGTACTGAATTAGACTTCAATGTCAGTAAAAAGAAGAAATCTGCCGACAGAAAGAAGGAGAAGAAGGAGAAAAAGAAGGGTGTTAAAAACAAAATGCTACTGTCATTTGGTGATGATGAGGAAGAAGAAGAGGAAGAAACTTGAGGACGGATGAATGGACTTTAGAATTAATGTCTTCGACAATTCTTTCAAGAATACTTTAAAGAAAGATAAAAATGAAATTGAAAAGTCGTCAGACGGTGAAATAAATGATGGAGAAATGATCAATTGAGCAAACTAAAGTTTCTTGTGGAATCTACTGCCGTTATTGAGAGCTTGCAGATCCGAAATTGAATACTTGCTACCAAGCTGAATGTTCGATTTATTAGCTTCAAGTTAGGTGTGTGCATATATTTTGTAATGGTATCAGTGATCAGCATTTTTATGACAGCACGCGATGTTAAATAGTTGTAGTTTCAGCATCTTTTTCGTTTATAAGATTCATTCCTTTTGAGCAAATCGGAACTCTGACTAAATGGGATTAAAATCAATGATGTAAAATAAATATACTTAATTGTATGCTCCTTATTTTATGCTGTTTCATTGCGCCTCATGCATGGTATATGGTAATTCAGAAACCGCTGAATAATTTCACAGATGTTAACAATTGTAAGACAAATTTGCTCCTGAAAATTGCTCGGAATCATAAAATACATTTGAAGTAAAATCCATCCGTAGGGGTCCCACATGAAATGAACCTTAAATAAAGAACAAGCCCCCGGATCTCAGCTACAACTATGACGTCACCTATCTAAAGATGACGTCAGAACATGGTGTCACAGGAAGGATATCAGGGTTACGTCTGGAAGTGGACTAATTACTTTGGGGGTTGGCAACAAAGGTTAGTGAGTTTCTCTCTTTTATTATTTAATATTTATAATACAATTTGCTTGAAATGTCCGAAATGTGCAGTGGTTGTGAAGTGTTTTTATCTTCCAATGTGACCCTAGTAACCCCCTTCCGTTTTAATATGTATATTTATTCAGACATATTTAGCAATACCTTCCTTTCACACTTTTTGTATTATCAATCAAATGTCTTATGCTAATTATTTAAGCTAATTATGAACATTCAAAATTATCAGGTGGTTTGTACTGAAAGGTGGCTCGCTGACCTACTACAAGGATGCTAACACGACAGACACAGGTTGTAGAGGTAGCTTCAAACTAGAGGCCTGCAACATTGTAGTGCATCCTGTAGATCCCCTGAGGTGAGGCTATGTAGGTTTAGAGGTTTTGCTTTTTACAATCGAGTGAATGCTAAGCAAGTTACTGATGCAATTCTAGCTTGATTGTTATCAGTAATTAGTGAGCGCTAAACAAATAGACATGACTGAGATCACTTAATTTATTTCTCACCATCTCCGGCCATCTGCAAATTATATACTTCAATATCACATCCATTATTAATGACTAATGAGGATAAATTTTCAGGTTTGACCTGACAACATCATCCCAAAGAATCTACCTGAAAACCAACACAAAACCCTGCCGTCAACGCTGGATAATACAGCTCGGCACAACAAAAGCAAACATATCAGAAGAAATGCCAGATGTAGCAACAGTAACACTGTCCTCGTTTAACGAACATAAAACAGAACTGAAAACTGTAAGGTTACTACTCTCCGAACAGATCGATGAGATCTACAACATTTGTAATTCTGAGGAAATCGACAAGGATATGTTGAAACAAAGCCAAGCCATGGTAAACGAACTGTGTGAAGAGTTCATGAAAACACTGGACTCGTGCACCAACAACATGATCGGAGATCACAGAGACTGCTCGACTCCGTTAGTTAACCGTTCCGCTTCTCAAAGCTTCAGCGAGCCCAACCAGCTACTTTCTCTGGGTTCATACGTTCCTCCTAGTAGACAGAATTCCGGGATGTCCAACGCGAGCTCTGAGAATTTAGGGCCTGATGTTTTGTTGGATCGGAGTAGTCCGGATAGATCTTCAAGTCGGACCTCCGGAGATTTCCACGCGGCGGGTATTAAACGCGCGGAAAAGTTGCCCAGCACTTACTTTCTTAGTATTGCGGACAGGTTCGAGGATTTGTATTTGAAGGCGGACGCTATCCCTACTGTAGCTTTTCTTGGTAAGATTATCAATTTCTTGCAATTATTAAATGGAAAATAGCATTTTCACTTAGAAACAGATTCTTGGTAATATGATGGTCGGTTTATATGTCGTCTATGTGAGTAATGAGTATGTGTGAAAATCCTAATAAAACCCTCTCCTCAGATGCGTGTGCTGCTATTCCCAAACTACTGATAACAGTGGGGGGTAAAGCTGTGATAACCCTTTCTATAGACATCTCCAACAATATCAGCAAGATACAGACAAAACAGAAACTACATCCCAGTAAATCAGAGACTCTCCAGTCTATGATACATCTGGAAATAGGTATGCAGAGAAGGGCGGGGGGGGGGGGGGGGGGGTGAGGAATAATTAGTTGATGTTGTTTGATATTCTTGTTGTAGGATACAGGGCCAGCTGCAGTAACATTCCATACAATAGGAACAATAATATCCTTAAACTTTCTATCTAGCTAAGAAAAGTCCTGCACAAGATGGGTCATGGGATCACTTATTCCACAATTAGATTGTAACCTAACATCTCTCCTGGTAGGAACCCAGACAACGCACGCTAAGCACAGTGCTACAACAGCCCTGCTCTGGCTACAGAGGGAGCTGGCGTTTGTTAAGGAGCTACTGATAGCCATTGCTGAGACTCAAGGAGTGTCTGATATGTCCGCAAAGTGAGTAGATCTTTTGAATTTGAGTACAAAACAACCGTCGAGACCGAGGAAGTTCGATTTTTAACAAAATATATTGAAATCTTCTGAGCATTTTTGGCTAATTTTCTAATGTCTTGAAATACAAAAATGTAACATGTCTCAATCTAAAAGCTAGAACTTATAACCACATACGATGTCAAGTTTTCAAAGTCAAATTCCATTACAACATTGACCTCTCAAATTCCATTGTAACAGATTTCCCTCCAGGTTTATAGAATGCTACGAGAGAACACTGAGGGCACACCACAACATGATGTCACGGAGTGTTTATACTGTAGCTGCTAAAGCTATTCCTTACAGAGAGGATATGTTGCGGGCACTAGGTCAGTACCTTTTAGATAATATCTTCCACATTTATATTTGTGTTTCCAATGAGCTTTCCACAGCTTTGTGCTTCACACTTCTCCGCTTAAGGAAACTTGACGGAAAATTTAATTTTGGTTCACTCTACAGAGCGTATAGGTGCTATGTACAAACTACAATGTCATGTCTTGTAATAACATTAGTTTCTACTGTATATAGTGTGTACTTATATGTAACAGTGGTATTTATTTCAATACCTTAAGACATCCTTCGTCAAGTGTTGCAGAAAGATGTAAAAAAACAAATTAAATTTATTTTAACTTAAACACTTTAATTTTTCCAGGACACGACGGTTTGGCTCACACAGACACAGCGGTTTTCACCGACCTACACACGTACGGTAACGCAATAGGGACTGTTGTCAAATACATCGAAACATTTTATATTAACAACAAACTCCTCGCCTGATCTTGAGATGATAGGGCACGTGATAGCTTTCAGCCAATCAAGGTAGATGTGAGTCATGTGACTAGCAAGGGCCCGGGTTCCCTGATAAGAAGGATCAAAAAGTGGAAATAATTCTACCTCTATATTTTAATTTGCCTGAATGATGGCTCACTTTCTTTATTCGATAACTTTCTTATAAAACATTTCTGTTTAAAACGAATGAATCACTGTACAAATTATTTTTCATGTTTGCATGTATTTAAAGGCCGCGCCTTATATCACACTATTTTCATCGTTTTTTATTAAGTTTATTTGCTTTTACGAAATATATTTCTTTGAATGATTCTCTTTGGTAAAACATGTACATTTTTTGTGAATTGCATTTATGTAAAAATTGTGAACTGAACATTGTGCATAAAATCTCGAATTGAAAGTATATTACAGTTTTATCAGATCTTCTGTAATGTAAATGATAATTTAGATTTTAGTTTGACAATTTAATGTTAATTCACTTGTAATTGTAAATTGTAAACGTAGTTTTTCGTTATCAGTTAACACTTGTTATCTAACTTTCGTTAAATTGACGGTAGTTATTTGTATTAAATGGGGAAGTTTGTGAATGTTTGTTACCCATCTGTAATTAAACGTCATGCTATTTCAAGAAAATGGGTGTGTGAATTGAGTAATACTATAGCTTGGAAAAAAGAAAGATTAAAAAAACTACCATTGAAGAAGAGGTAAATAATTGATTGTGTCTTGACCTGTGCTTGAATTGTTTGCATCGATAATTGTAATAGATTAAGTTTACTTCTAGTGCTCTTTCAGATAATCACTTAAAGTTTCAAATGAGTTTTGTGTTATCAAGCCCATGAGTTTTACTGCGTAAAACTAAAGATATTCTTGAATTGCTTAAAATTAGAAGCATTACATGGAAGCTGATAAAAACCTTCTTGTTCGATTATTATATTGATTATTGAACGATAATAGTACTATTTTAATCACTAATTAGTTGATTAACTAATCACTAACTGATCCTTTACTCTCATAGCCGAAATGGCCAAGTCCAAGAATCATACCAATCATAACCAGAACAAGAAGGCCCATCGTAACGGGATCAAGAAACCAAATGTACCCAAGAAGATTGCTCTGAAGGGAATGGACTCTAAATTCGTCAGAAATCTACGATTCTCTAAGAAACACAACACAGAGAAGAAGAAGGTTAGGCAGTAAAGAGAAGAAAGAAGAAGAAGAAGATTGGTTGATTCGATTGAAGATGGATTGATATGATCTCTTTTTATTTATTTTGACTTTAGTGTTTCTCTGCGATCAGCGATGCTCTCATTCTATCCATACGATATTACACATTATAAAATGTATTACACATATCCTTCGAGTGACTTCGTTTTCCCTAAATTTTAATCCAAAATGCAACCGCTTACAATATTCCCTACACTGAACTTATCGATTAAATAAATCTAACACTTAATTAATTAATTAATTGCTTAATTAAACTAATTAAACTAACCCTGTCCTGTTAGCTAGCAACCAAATGGCGGATAACGCAGGGGGTGATTCAGCCGGTGCTTCTCGTGGAGGATTCGGACGTGGTGGTTCCCGAGGGGGTTCCAGGGGACGGGGACGTGGACGTGGCAACCGGGGACGTGGAGGAGGTTTGTTTTAGTTTTAGTTGGACTTTTACTTGTGTTTTTTAATATTTGAATACCCGTTTTATCAGGTAGTTATTTTAATTGCAGTTAATTGTAATAATACGGTCGGAACTGAAACTCTTTGTTTGTTAATTCTAATTGTTTAAACCATGTTGATGCACTTGAATAGACATTGAGTTTTTTCAGCTGGTGACAGCAAGGAATGGTATCCCTGTACCAAACTAGGACGTCTTGTAAAGGACGGTATGATCAAGAAAATCGAGGAGATCTATCTGTTCTCTCTTCCCATCAAGGAGGCTGAAATCATCGACTTTTTCCTTGGATCCAAGCTCAAGGATGAGGTTTGTACAAAGGATAAATTTAGTTTTTTATTTACTTAATTGGGGCTTAATTCAATGACAAGAATTCTTATTGATCGTTGCGATGATAGATATAATTGAGAAGATCATAATGTTGTCTAAAAGCTTCTGAAATCATCTGACAATCGTCGTCAGCTCATATTTTATCGATTAACCAAGTCGATCTATAATTAACAAATTGACTCTAATCACCCCGTTACAGGTCCTGAAGATCATGCCCGTCCAGAAGCAGACCCGTGCTGGACAGCGAACACGTTTCAAGGCTTTCGTTGCCATCGGAGATTACGATGGACACATCGGACTTGGAGTGAAGTGCTCTAAGGAAGTTGCCACTGCTATCCGCGGTGCTATCATCCTGGCTAAACTCTCTGTCATTCCCGTCAGGTTGGTTGAAGTTGTTAGAAGTTACTGTTTTGCATCGAGACTCGTTTGATGGCTATTAATTGATTGAATTAAATATGTTCTACGGGTTTATCTTTTTATTTTGACTCACTCAACCTTTTTATTTGGTGCCTGCATTTACTGAGTCCCTCCATTGACTGTTACTATTTCCTTTGTCTTTAGTTAGAGGGAAAACTTGTATTTTTGAGTACAGGGTACTAATTATAACATTTACTTCTGTATTGTTGAGTCTAGCCCGCTTCATTTCAGACGAGGATACTGGGGAAACAAGATCGGTATGCCTCACACAGTACCCTGCAAGGTTACCGGCAAATGTGGTTCCGTCCTGGTCAGACTTGTCCCTGCTCCCCGTGGAACTGGTCTCGTCTCAGCTCCAGTCCCCAAGAAACTCCTGAACATGGCCGGATTTGAGGATTGCTACACTTGTGCTACAGGACAGACAGCTACCCTTGGCAACTTCGCTAAGGCTACTTTCGCCGCGATTGCCGCTACCTACGCTTATCTGACTCCAGATATGTGGTCTCCAACCGTGTTCACCAACTCTCCTTATCAGGAATACACTGACTACCTGGCCAAGCCTTTCGTCAAGCAGCCCAAGAAGGAAGTCAAATATTAATCATCTCAGATTCTTGATTTTTAGTTTTTATTTTACATAACGTATAAATCTTGTTTCATTGTGTCAGTTAATTGCATCTTTTTCTACTAGCAGACATTGGACATTTACCTGTAGAGATTATCCGTGGTTATAATAAATGTGGCCCTTTTCGTGCGCGCGCAGCGCGTGCTATTCGAATTTACAGTATAGGCTACTCTATGCTAAATACTTCAAAGTTTATTATCTCTGGACAGTAAATTAGAGGATGGCAAAATTATTTTTGGGACTCGGACGATCGATTTGGATGGCTAAAAGGCACTTTTCAAAATGATTAGGACAAATTAGATACTACGTAGATGGCTTCGGTGGAAAATTAAACTACCATTCATATAGTTACAGACTTATTTGAGACCCTAAGCTTGGTCCATCAGACTGACCAAGAAATTAGTGTGAGCCGACTAACTTCTTTATTTCATAGGTCTGATCTTCTATCTTCCCGAAGCTGTGCCATTAAAAGCTCGGAAGTGCAATAGAATTACCCAGCTTAAACCGGCTGTGATAAAATTAGTATAGAATTTGATATCAGTTTTATACCTAGAGAAATCTATGCCTTACCCAGCCTTCTGAGACTAACAGGTGTGACTGTCAAAGGGTGACCTGTCGAAATAGGATCTGACTCTTCTTGAAAAGAGCTTTTAACAGTAGCGGCCCCTCCGAAAAGGTTGTCCAGTCCTTGATTATTATTTTATAGGAATAAGGCGAGATAAAGAGAAATCTCCACACGAATTATCCCAAAATATCCTTAGAATTTCTCGCCATTTTATGTCAGACCATGGCTAATGGCTTTGGGCTTAGTATTGAAGAATGTACACTAAGTAACCTAGGTCCCGGATGTATGTTCACTAAGGGAAGAATACTGATCTAATATAAAGTGAGCTTGTTCGGACGAAGTTGGTAGCCGGAGAAAATTACAGAAATGACCCAGTTTTCAAGTCACGTTTTACCGTGAGTACACCCAGGTTATTGCAAAGGAAACCATTACCAGGAATATTTGATAATACTGTAGATTTGCTCAACCAGTTGGTGGCAAAAATTGTGGCCCGAAAAGTGAAAATATCTCAATTGGTTGAATTTAGGCACAGGCCTTGAAAACTTATTTTCTCCACTTTCGAACCATTCTCTGCATTCCGCAAACTATTAATAAATACCTCAGTGCTCAGCCTAAGTCAAGCTTGAAATTTTAACTCTATTAGCTATTAACCAATATCGACCTTAAACAAAATTGTTTAAACAAAGTTGTTCCACGACACTGCGAACGTTCACCGCATCCAGATCTTGTCGGTTAGAAACATTAAATCACAATTTCGCTACAAAATACTTATATCCCCATGGTATTAAAATATGCGGTTAATTGTCGATCATAAAACTGGGTAACATTTTCGTAATATATTTTAAGGTTTAATGTAGTTCAGTGGATACAAGAAGCGAGGGATGTGTATCTAAGAACAGTGATTTCACAACATACACCGAAGTCTTCTAATATATAGCTCCCGAATCTGTCTGCGTTTCTACTTAGGAACACTTAATGCTAACTTCTCGTGAAACAAGGATATATGGGAATAATATGATGAAAACCACAATTGCGCGTAAAAACACGAACGTGTTTTGCGCCGTTACCCTACAAAGACATGCGTTTGTCGTTCAGATTTTATTTGGCGCGAAGAATTGCTGCCCTGTTCCACTTTTTAGCGCCAATAATCTTGGTAACTAAAAATGGTTTATGTATTTTGATGTATCACATCAAAGAAAGCGCTATATAGCTGAGGTCATGTACATCTTGTATTGATGCTTTCAAAGAGTTGAGATTCATTGAAAATGTTTTGTTGGCTTTTCTGAGAGGCAGAAAACAGTAGTTTGATGTTAAAACTCATTTCATAAGTTCTGAAATAACCGGCCTATCATTAATAAATTAACCCAGAAAACCCTTCAAAGTCATAATTAAAACAATAAAAAGCAGTAAAAACTGGTGGGGTGTCGACAAAAGTGCCTTAAATAACGGAACAAATAAAAAAGTCAAGTCCACTGAAAAGTTTTCAACGCAACTTAACACTCTTGGTAAGATTCGACTTGATTCCACTCTTTTCGCCCTCATACGTTCCCTTGTGGTCACGGAGATCAGGTACTTGGGAGCGCCTCTTTTTCAGGGCTTTATCGTACTTTTTACGGTGTTTCACTCTGGGATTTCTCTGTTCTTTCTTCCTGTGTGGTGTTAGACCCTGGGAAAGGAGGAACATTAGTTATGGTGATTCTTGGATTTATTTGTTTGTTGATTTTAAACTTGTGTTAAGGTTTGAAAAGTAATGGTTCTTGAGACGGTGGGTCTAAGGGAAACTAGTCAGGTATTTTGTGATGCAAAAATACTAGCCTAATCTTTCTATTCACATCTAAATTTGTGAGCTGATCGTTTTTATAGAGGATAAAAATATACCTTGTTCTTCATTATTTTGAATGTGATTCCTCTCTTTTCTTCATCTTCTTCGTTCATCGTTGTTGGGTCTTCTGACAACACTTCAATACCTGTAGGGAAAATTGTCATTCAATGAAATCTTACATTGCGATCGTCTTTAAAAAAAGTTAACAAAGGTAAAAAAGACCGTTGAATTATAGATTAACTTGCCTTTTGACTTCTTCTTCTTTTTACGTTTCTTTTCTTCGGAGAGTTTCAAAGTTTTTTCGTACAGATCTTCCTCGTTGTCCTCACTAAATACGAAAATCATTTATTCATTAATCGGTTAATTAACTCATTTGCGGATGGGGGGGTACCAATGGCATAGAATGGAGACAAATGGCATAAAATTCATCAAATGGCATAGAAATTTCATGGCATAAATGGAAATTTTGTTTGGCCAATTCTCCATTTATGCCAATTTATGCCATGAATTTAGGTCTTCATATTTGACCTTTAGGATGACTTTAAATTCGCAAATTATTATTAGTACTTAAATAAGAGACATGTTTCATGCTTTATAATGCTTGGAATGATCGTTAAAGATTCATATGACAAATAAATAAAATAGAAATGTATTATATCAAACATATACCAAACATTTGACTTTTCAAGAAAAGCAAATTGTGAGACGTTCAAAATGTACCCAATACAAACATTGACCGCCACACAGCGATTTTGAATGTCATCAAGGAACCTGGAACAATTCATGTGATGTATTTGTCTTCGACGAGTAGCCAAACATTAGGAGATCCGTTGATTAGGCTATACTTCTGGCAGTAGTACTTCATCGGGCATGACTAATAAGAAATAAATCTAACCACTCCTGTTGCAAAGTCCTGCTGAGATTAGAAGACTTTAAGAGTTTCTGTACTGCCAGCTTTCAAAACTGTTGAACATCCGCATTCAGGTTGATTGTATATGCGAACATCAGAAGACACTCCAAACGCGTCCCCCTTGAATCTTGAAAGACGAGATTTTGTTGATAAAGTGCTTCTTCCTCCATTGAGCGTGAGTGTCTCAAAATACCGGAAGGAAAGTGTTCCATATTTATCTGTTGATATCGTTTCTCCAACATCACAATCATCAACTCCAGGTTCTACCTCATAAGCTAAGTCGTCCTCATCCTCGAGGCATCCAGCTTCATCATCTACAGCTTCCCAAGAAAGTACTTGGCCATGGACGATTGGCTTCCCACACTGTTCTTCTGGATCTGCGACTGCGGCGAACACAGGGAAATTGTTTCTTTTCCCTTCTCGAATGCAGTCCCTCGATGCCCTGTCCAGCGTTTTTGCCAACTTCCCTAGGCTTATCATACCACCAGTCCATTTCACTCGTTCTGCTTTCTGGCCTGTAGATTTAACCTTTTTGAGGTGAACTGTAGGATGCAAAACTGTACTTCCACGACCCACGTGCATGTGCAATTGCAGATGTGTTTTCATGTAATGAAGACACATCTGCAACTGTACACATTCTTTCTCTCCATTCCATGGGCCATAGTTATCGCATCCATATTTCTTGAGCGACTAGATGAAAAAGAAACCCGAATAAATTCTAGATTATACTAGATTAACGTTATTATAGAAAACTAATAAAGGAGTGCTATGTTGCTATGCAGCAGTGAATATGGAGATATTTAAGCAATATATTATGGTCATCATCATTTTGTATAATAGGAAGCAAGTATTTCAGGTCATTTGGTGAACTATTATGTAATACTAAAATGCTAGAGTTAAGAGAAAGGATCTCAGTGTTGTCTGGTTAGACTTAGCGAATGCTTACGGGGCTGTTCCACATTTACTTATTGTGAAAGCACTCCGCTTCTATCATATCCCCGAGAAAGTTATCAACATCGTAATCAAATACTTCTCGGAAGTTTACGGAAGATTCTCCTCTAAAACAGTGACATCAGAGTGGCAGCAGTTCGAGATAGGAATATTCATGGGCTGTGTCATCTCGGTGATCTTATTTGTGCTATGCATGAACCTTTCTGACGAGTACTTGAAGATGAAGGTACCCAGGAGTGTCGAGTACATTAAGGATGGAACAGCTATACCACCCCTTAAGCTGTTTATGGATGATAGCTGCCTTACCACGGCTAAAATGGTAGATATGCAAACCCTGCTTGATGTTTATCAGGAGTTCGTTGTGTGGTCAAGGTTCAAGCTTAAGTCGTCTAAATCTAGGGCACTAGTCTACCAGAAGGGAGTGACAGTGGAGTGGGTTGTAGAGAGTTCAGAAGGTAGCCAGGCGAGGTTGCAGCTTAGCGGGGAGGTGATCCCGAATGTATCTGAGAAACCAATCAAGTTTCTAGGGAGGTGGATTCGGGCAGAAGGAAAGGACAAAGCTATAATCGAGAAAACACACGAGGATCTTATTACATACCTCAGTAGACTCGATCTTAGCTCCCTCACCGGCCTGCAGAAATGTTGGGGTATCAGTATATGGTCCTTCCAAAGATGAAGTGGCCACTTGCCATTTATGATATCCCGATCAGCACTGTTTCTCGCTGGGAGCAAACAACTAACAGTTATCTCAGAAAATGGCTAGGAGTGGGACACACGCTTAGTAGCTTTTGCCTGTTTAGTCATTCATCCAGTGTTGCTCTCCCCATCGACAGCCTAACCGACACTTGGAAAGTAGAAAAGTGCCGTCTCTTGCAGTCATATCAAACATCTCAGGATGCTTTGATCAGAGCGGTGCAACCCCAGGTGCGGTCTGGGAGAGTTTGGAAGGCAGATGCTCAGCTTCACGAAGCTGAAAGAGACTTGGTGTGTGAGTCAGTGCGAGGTATGGTGCAACCTCTTAGTAGAGCGGGAATTGGTTTCGGTGATTGGAAGAAGCCCTGGGAGAAGATGTCAGAAAAGGAGCAGCAGAGGGAGGTGTTGGATAGGGTTAAGGAGAACATCAGGAAGGAAAGAGAGGTGCTCAGGTGCAGTTGGGTACGTTGGAGATGCAGTCCAGGTGGGGTAATTGGAGAGAGCTGGTGACAAGGACTGACATGAGCTGGCACACGCTCTTCAAGTATGGGGACTCATTAATCGGTTTTCTGCTTAGTGCTGTGTATGGCACGCTTGTTACACCAGCTTTAGCATCCAAGTGAGGCGAGGATGAGGATGGGATGTGCAAGCTGTGTGGTGACAAGTTGGGAACTGTGCCGCATATCCTGTGGCACTAAGTCAAGGGAGATACCGATGGCGCCACGATAAGGTGCTTAAACAAATAGCGGACCAAGTTAAATTCCATTGTGAGCGGAGAGTCAACAAGAGGAAGAGTTCTTGAGTCACTCGGAAAGCCATTGAGTTTGTTCCAGCAAGAGGGAGGTTTAAGGAGGTGAAGAGGTCGAAAGTCATTGAGTTTGGGATTCTGAGTGGGGCCACTGATTGGATAGTATTAGCAGACCTGGATAAGCAGCTGAAATTCCCGTCGGATATAGCAACGACCAGATTAAGACCAGATTTGGTTCTTTTCTCGAAAGCTTCCAAGAGAGTAATCTGGTGGGAGCTTACAGTACCGTCGGAAGAGAGAATAGCTGCATCCCATGAGCTGAAGCTTGATCGGTATAGCAGTCTACAAGCGGAAATACAAGCTAAAGGGTGGTCAAGTTTCAGCTTTGCTGTTGAGGTTGGTGCTAGAGGTGTGGTTGCAGCAAGTTTGGAGTGTGCATCAAGGACGATTGGTCTGACTGGGAGAGCCCTCAAGAAGTTGGTCAGTGATTGTGGGAAGGATGCAGCCCATTGTTCAAGATGGATTTATCTGCTGTCTAGGAAAAAAGAGTGGGAGATGAGAGCTGTTTGAGCTTTATGACTTCACCTAACAGCCAGAGGTGCCATAAGCTAACTCGTCGTAAATCGCGAGCTCTAGCAGGTATCCTCGGGTGATTGTCAGATAAGATGGTGGTCCAAGAGAGACTGCTGGGGCACCTGACAGAAAACCGTATCGCAATGAAAGCCCCGAAACGGTGTCAGGTTTGTGACTGAAGATTCTGATCAAGCTCAGGGTTGAGTCTACACAGTGTCGCCACTTGCCGATGCCAGTTGATGCGAGAAGACACTGATGTAAGTGGGAAGTTATGTCTAAGAAACAGCGTGTGGTTCGGGTGCCGGTTGAACGCATGTAAAAGGGAGGGTATATCCGTATTTCGCTGCTAGTGATGCAGTCCTTGGCCCGGTAGCTAAGGCTTCCCCGTTTCTCGCTCATTTGTGCTCCGATGGGCTTGTGACCTCTGCGGGGGTCAAGTGCAGGATGAGGGACATGGCCGACCAGGAGAAGGTTGTTTTTGGGAGATAGAGTAGGGTTGGTTTGGTGTTGTGCCTTCGCAGTTTAACTGTATCTTTACCCCTACAGGTTCATCGAGATATCAATGAATATTATTTTTAAGAGGCTACCCATTCGAAACATGTTTACAGATCATTATCAATCTTATGAAAATGTTTAAATTTCAAAACCTTCAACATGAACACGGTCCCGACACGATACATCTGTTATACACATCATTAACAAATAATATTTTAATCGAGTTGGTAATGTTACAGTTTTCCACTGTTAATTTGGATATCCGATTGACTGGGAGCATTCAGTCGACTGTCCTCTCTGTTATACGGTGTGTAGCGTGTACTATGCCATACTGCCCGGTCACTTGTCCACTATCAACCAAATTCTCATATCATATTGATATACATTGAACGTCATTATAATCAGTAATGCCCATTGCTAGGGATATTTTGAGGAATTTAATGGGTGAAAATAGATGTTGTACTAGTACAATAAATAGAGATAAAGGTGGACAGTACTAGTGGGGTGCAGACAATTCGTTATTAAATTCTCAGTCTAAAGTTTTAAAATTTCATATTTCGAATGGCATAGAATGGAGACAAATGGCATAAAATTCATCAAATGGCATAGAAATTTCATGGCATAAATGGAAATTTTGTTTGGCCAATTCTCCATTATGCCATTTATGCCATTGGTACCCCCCCTTGCGGATCGATGAATTAGTTGAACAATCAAATAAATAATAAATTAATAAATTACAAAAATCGGTAGACAAGATAATATGTACACCAAGATAATATCTACACTTCCTATTAACCTTTTGGTGTTGTCTGAAGATATTTTCCTCTTCCTCTGTTTATCCTCCTCCTCATCACTCTGCTTCTCATTTAACAGGTGTTCTATTTCTTTCTCCAGGGTAAAATCTAGGTAGTAAAGTTATTATTATGTTGCATTTGGGAAACACACAACTACACAATATAAGGTTTAGGTTATAATTAAACTTGGTTATAGTTTATGAGTGGAGACCCGCTATAATTATTAAAACGAACTTTCTAGCACAACTATTTCTTTACCTCACTGAATAACAGTGAGCGGACAAATGTTAATTAGTCGTAATTTAATCGCCGTTAATTATTGAATATAATATATCATTAATCATTATCATCGCTCATTACACAATATATAAACAAATGGGATTAGAATTTGTTACCTGTTTTAGCACAAGTTTTGAACATTTTCCTGAGGTCCACAATTCGTTGAATAACTGGATGATTCTTGACATCAGTTTTGTCTGAAGACTGCAACATGAGGTAGAACCTGGAAAGATAACAGATAACAGATAACAGATGGATAAGATAACAGCTGGCGTAACTTTGTGTTCAGAGAAAGGTTTCACGTACATTACTTGTCCAATGTCTATGAATTTGGATGGAACCACTTTTATCAATAAATATTTATCACCACTTTCCATCAGCCAGTTAAAATTATCGACTGAGAAAATATGTGAAATCACAAAAAACTTTAAACTTTAAACTTTAAAAGTACACAAATATCTCAAACCCAATATTAAGACAGTAGAGAAGGTTTAGTTTGTATTTAGCCTCAATGTAGTCGTGTCCTGTGTGTGAAAATGTGCCTTGCTGTCTGCCTGGAAAATGAAATGTTAAACTAACAACTAACATATTATAAACTTTAATATGAAAAACAATATTCCTTAAAGACATACGGAATTGAAACAATGCACTTCCTATACGTTATCCATCAATTAATAATTGAAGGATAACGTATAGGAAGTGCATTTTTTATTCGAATAATTGACAATTATTCGAATAAAAAATGTGAATATTAGCGAAATGTCATGGTATAATACAAACCTAACTGAAGTAAGGGATAAAGGGGCTCTACAAACCTAACTGAAGTAAGGGATAAAGGGGCTGTCTAGCCTCACAAACCTAACTGAAGTAAGGGATAAAGGGGCTCTACAAACCTAACTGAAGTAAGGGATAAAGGGGCTCTCTAGCCTCACAAACCTAACTGAAGTAAGGGATAAAGGGGCTCCCTTTAATACAAACATAACTGAAGTAAGGGATAAAGGGGCTGTCTAGCCTCACAAACCTAACTGAAGTAAGGGATAAAGGGGCTGTCTAGCCTCACAAACCTAACTGAAGTAAGGGATAAAGGGGCTCTACAAACCTAACTGAAGTAAGGGATAAAGGGGCTCTCTAGCCTCACAAACCTAACTGAAGTAGGGGATAAATGGGCTCTCTAGCCTCGCTACAAACCTAACTGAAGTAAGGGATAAAGGGGCTCTCTAGCCTCGCTACAAACCTAACTGAAGTAAGGGATAAAGGGGCTCTCTAGCCTCGCTACAAACCTAACTGAAGTAAGGGATAAAGGGGCTGTCTAGCCTCACAAACCTAACTGAAGTAAGGGATAAAGGGGCTCTCTATAATACAAACCTAACTGAAGTAAGGGATAAAGGGGCTCTACAAACCTAACTGAAGTAAGGGATAAAGGGGCTCTCTAGCCTCACAAACCTAACTGAAGTAAGGGATAAAGGGGCACTCTAGCCTCGCTACAAACCTAACTGAAGTAAGGGATAAAGGGGCTCTCTATAATACAAACCTAACTGAAGTAAGGGATAAAGGGGCTCTACAAACCTAACTGAAGTAAGGGATAAAGGGGCTCTCTAGCCTCACAAACCTAACTGAAGTAAGGGATAAAGGGGCACTCTAGCCTCGCTACAAACCTAACTGAAGTAAGGGATAAAGGGGCTCTCTAGCCTCGCTACAAACCTAACTGAAGTAAGGGATAAAGGGGCTCTCTAGCCTCGCTACAAACCTAACTGAAGTAAGGGATAAAGGGGCTGTCTAGCCTCACAAACCTAACTGAAGTAAGGGATAAAGGGGCTCTCTATAATACAAACCTAACTGAAGTAAGGGATAAAGGGGCTCTACAAACCTAACTGAAGTAAGGGATAAAGGGGCTCTCTATAATACAAACCTAACTGAAGTAAGGGATAAAGGGGCTCTCTAGCCTCGCTACAAACCTAACTGAAGTAAGGGATAAAGGGGCTCTCTAGCCTCGCTCAACTTCTCTCTAAACTCCTCCAACATTTCTGGTAGTTCCGGACAGTTCTGATTGGCAATTAGATGATTAGTGATATCTTGGTTATTATTGAATGGGGGAACATGTCGTAGTAAAGATATTAAAAACAAAATTATGCTTATTTATTTTTATTTAGCCTTGGTCATATAGGTTACATGAACCTGAATGTTAATAAAATCAGAAAAATTAGAAAGATTATCAAAGTAACCTGGTGTAGAAAGATAAGTTTGTCATCTTTAGACATATTTTCAAAGTCTGTTCTGACAATAGTTTTCTTTTCGGTTGTCTCTTTGGAGTCTGATATAAATCTGAAAATTGTGTAACAATATTAAGAAAAGCGTTTTTGATTTAAACGATCACGTGAAGCACCATTCTTTCGTAAGATCAAAATATACGACTTCTAAATTCTGAAATTTGAGCTCTAACTTAGATGGACATGGTCAGTATTAGGACAATATTTAGAGCAACTATATTATACAAACAAGATCCCATACCTCTGTGAATCAAAGTGGTCGTCAGTTAGATGGCTCATTAATCTCTTCTGTAAAACCATCGCCTCCCTCTCTTCCTCCTCCTCCAGCTAGAATACAGATTATTTTTAAATCTAGAGGCACAGAGATAATCTACAGGTCTGGAGATGAAACCATCATAATTGCTATTAATTTTATGGGTACTATAATGTTTCAATTAGTTAGTGGCTCAATGAACGTAATACCACACAAAGAAGAACGAGAAAAAGGCACACGGAGTCTAAGGAAGAAATCTAAGGAATGTAACATACCTCTTCCTCTGCAGCACTGGACAAGTCTGACTCCTCTTCCTCCTCATTGTAGTAGGTAGATCTCTTCTTTCCCCACGCCTGGTCCTTCTCTCTGCAGGGATTATCAGTAAGAAATAAAACTAATTAAGTTAATCAAGATCACATAATTTTATTTTTGCTTCATTAACTTATTGTTTCATTAACTAACTTATTCACTTATTGCTTCACTACTGCATTGTTGTCATACGTTGTTACCTTGTGGGGATCAAAAGCATGCCGATTTGAACTCTACAAACTCTTGATTAAAAGAGATTTCACTATTTACACCTCAAATTTATAAGAATCACGTGATCTAATACCTGAGTTCGTCTTCTATCTCCTCAAAACCTCGCTCCCTCATCTCCTCTCCCGACTCTTCACTCTCATCTGTAATGTTAATACTAAATGGTAGAAGTTTTAACTCGTAAATTAGAGAAATCTGTTATGAATAAAATTAACAATACACTGTGCCTAAGATAACAAAGTCATACCCTCTAGACAAGTCACAACAACGTAAAGATAACCTAAACTGGTGTAATACTAGAAGAGCCGTTGTATATCACTCACTTTGAACCTTTAACAAGTCCACACGGATAGGTTAGCTTTCTTCAGACATGAAAACAATAAAAAAGCTCAATCTGATTTAAATAGCACACTTTCAGTCTAAATTAATTACGTAATTAAGTAATTAGTTAATTAGTCACGTGACTTACCTTCCTCGTCAGAATCAGGTAGTTGTAACAGGTCTTCTGTTTCAAGGTCCTCGTCACCTTCACTCTCACTGTCACCGTCAAACCTGGACAATGAGATCGTTAAGTTATCAGTTGTTAGTCATTACTAATTAGTCATTAATCTATTAGACAGTCATGGTGAGATTTGATTTCAAAAATTTATCATTATGCCAGTTACTCCTGTCAGTTTGCTACAGATGAAAGGTACCGGTAATTAGAAGTAATCAAGTCTTCATCGCAATCTAAGATATAATTTTACGACATCCTAAGTGATCCCCCACTATCATCAATAACTTTCCCGATTACTTTTAATTCTACTGCAAGGGTCTCCGTTACGACAATATTATTTTTACCACTCCAGTATTGTCACTAAAACATACTACCACACACACTACATATCATAAACATCGCTTAAACATCATCATCCGCTGCAATATATCACGGTTTCTACACCATAATACTCTGACCCATGAAATATAAGTAAACTGGTAAAGGTATCCAAAATAGCAGGTGTTAATATAACAACCTCTTTTTGTTTACTACACTGAAATAATAATACACTGTAAAATATAACTTTAATGGCAGGTGTCAACTGACTTTGTTTCTGTTTAGTTCTTCTTTTAAAATCGCACATCCTCATAACAATTTTAGCCATCTGCGCAGCAATGATGGATCGTTCAAATTTCAACCATTTTAGACTCCACTCGACTCCCCCATCCGTAAGCCAACCACTTTACACATAGCCAATGTTAATTAATCAGACGTCTCAAACTTCCTCCCCCTCTTTACACCTTGGTAATACTGTGGATGACCCAAGTAAGAACAATATGAATACAGTTAAATGGAATAATATGTAACATGATACAGTTCAGAGGACTCCTTTACCATTAAATTCAAATAATATCCACCATGTACTAGTATGGCGGGAAGCCCTGTTGTACAGTATAAATAACACCATGTATCGTTATAATAATACACATTTCTCTTCGGGAGGTAGCAAGAAAGAATGCAATAAATAACCAATAACCATGTACTTTGTATCAAATCATTGAGACCCAGTGCCTCACGGCTCACCCCTCACTATACAATATGGATATTTGTGGAGCATTAGATAATACATTTACAGCACCTCCGGTAACAGCTGAGATTCCAAAGAAGTCTCAGTTCACCTAGATGTATCCTCAAGAAACAGTACTGTACTAATATTACTAATATTACTAAACATTGCATCACTGTCCTAATATTACTAATATATTACTAAACAGTAAACGTTGCATTACTGTCTTAATATTACTGTCCTAATATTGGAGTACAACATTCATTGCAGCTAATCCTCTCCATTCCACGACGAAAGAGATGTAAGTGAGAAACATAAAACATTTGGGGAGCTTCACTTGACCTTACAGCTATACTAATTACTATACTAATACAGTCTGACTCTTCTGTATTGAAGTGCTTTCCACTAAGGTAAATTCTCAACGACATTCCTCCAGAACCTAGCCAGTGGCCAATTCAGCTACAGTGCGACAACAGCATAACTGAGAATCGTCTCCATTCCACGACGAAAGAGATGTAACTCAGTGAGCACCACTTTTACAAAAGTTAACGCCGAATTTCTCACACCTTTCTAAGCAAGCATTTTGCACAACTTCGCTAATGTAATCAAGAAGATCTACTGAACTGAGAGAGAAGACGCCCTACCTCCATATAAGGGCATCACGTGATGTGACGCCCTACCTCCTTACAACTTTATAAGGGCATCACGTGATGTACCTCCCCAGATTGTATTACATGGAACACACTAGAGCAGGGAACCTGGCGAGAGTCTACCACGGAATGGAACACCAATCAACTATAATATACAACTCATACGTATATAATGCTTATGTACGAGTGGACATTTTAAAGGTGAAATCTACACTAATTGGAACCGAAGAGAAGTATTTAACGCTTCCTTGTCATTAGAGTCAGTACTTTAATGTTTTATACATTAATTGTACTATTTTGCCACTTTATAGCATTGATCTTGGAACCTAATGTTGATTGTTTGGTTGTAACTCCATGGCTACGTTCAGTTGTCATGGTCTACAATATATGGAGACAACGTGTGATAGCTCGAAAAGCTTCATCATACTTCACATACTTCACATACTTCACATACAACGCTCATTAACGGTGTATTCTGTTATTTGATTCTGTTCTACGTATATAATCTACTACTTTACACGGTAGTCGGAAGAGAAATAAGATGACATTACTGTATGAATCCCACTGTTGAGATAACCAAAAACACAAACCCTGCGAGCCAAATTAAACGAACTAGTGTTCCAGTTGCTAGAACGCCCTGAACAGAAATTTGGCCCTCTCTACATTGCGTTGCATGCGATGACCGTCTCCTGACACAGCTAAAGACATTACCCCAGATAATGTAGGGCAATTCAATTATCCCTTATTAGGAAGTAAAGGTGATTATGGTAGCCTATCAATTAGTAATTTATTAGAAGGACAATTAATCCAATCAGCTGTGTCCTACGAAGATTAGATTATCCAGGTACTTTGTATTTCATGTAGACACTGTAAAGCGTTATATATTATGTAGTGTAATGCAGTATGATAATCTAAAGAATGGAATATCTAACACCTGTCACCTGATGCCCTTATATGGTCACGACCGATTAGTACCATCTCCTAATTCAGTATATCCACCAAGAATAAAGAATGCGATGGAATCCAGAGAAAGTGTAGTAAGATGCTCTAGTCTCTACACGGGCAGCACACAGTACTACCATGTAAACTCTTTCAACATATCTGGCACCTCTCCAAGTTTACCTACACCAGCAGCACTTGATACTTTTAAAGTACCTGTTTTGAGGCACCTTCTTCAGCACATCATTGTGCTTACCTTGTGCTTACATTGTGCTTACCTTGTGGTGTGCTTAATGCTTACATTCTAAGAGTTACAAAACACCTCTTCTGTGATCTATCGTACAGACATATCAACATATCTGGCAACTGTCCAAGTAACATTTATCTGCACTCTCTGCAGCACATCATATTGCACAGCATACACCTCCGTCGTAAACATAATACCATTCAACAGCAGTGTTAACATCATACATTTTGTAAACCTAGTTAACAAGTGAACGGTAATTCCGTGAGAAAAGCTCACATTAAAAAATGTATTTAAAAGTTAAAAAATACTTTGATTTAATACGAATGTGGAGAGTATGATGGCATGAGTACCACCAAATACGCTACAGCATGTGCAGATACACTAATATCCGGTGGTCCTGTGAGAATAGGAAACGTCTGAATTGGCCGTAAACAGAAAAGTGGACGCGGTTCGTAATATAATTAGATGTGTAATGATGACAAAAGCTATGAAGGTTATGGACACTAAAGTTTGCAACATTGCAATTTTTGGTTGTTGAAGGTATCTCAATATGAACTGAAGTTGGGTGGCTTCTTTTGTGCCTATTGTGCAATTGAAATGATTCTACCGTTTTTATTTACTGTTATTTTATTTACTTTTATTTTATCCGTTTAACTTTTATCAAGTTCCATCGTCTTCGGCAAAACATGACACTATCTCTCGAAGCAGAAGGAGTTACACACTACCATCACTTACTGCCTTATTCTTTGTAACCAGACTTACTTCCCTACACTGCCTCACCATATATGGAATAATGAGCCGACAGATTCTGGAGCAATGTCTTTGCGCTAGCTGGCCGAGGCATGGCTACGTGTTATGATATTTTCAAGATATCGCGGTATACGTTAATAGATGCCGATGAAACTGGATACCAATATATTCTGTTTTCAGTTCCAATATCTACGGGTTCAGAGCGAGCAGGAGCGTATATTTTACGGACGATATCTTCATATGCATAACATTACCATTCATTCATCGCTTTGCATGCTACGTGAACGATGGTTTGATTTAAACGTGAGTCATTTATTGGGTAATCTTATTCTCGGAATTGTTATCATTAAATAACGGGCAGTTTCTTTGTAATATATGCACAAAACCATGATTATTATCTACAATTGCTATAACTATTTAACAAACAAGAGCGCTCTGTTCATTGTCTCGAGAAATGGTAGGGACTAGTGGACTAGCCAGACTAGCGATAGTTAAGATTAAATTCTTACACTGATAAATATCACTAATCACACTGTTGTGACAAAGGAATAAACTTGCTTTTTTTAGGTGAGGTTAAAGTCGACATGTTAAATGTAACTTATTACATTTTAATTCATGTTATACATTTTTCGTGATGTATGTATAATATGTTTGAAAGTATTTCGAACGCTCGCTAATCATTGTTATGCAACTTCGGAAATTACATTATATATTTAAGTTAATACTACTAGAAGGAAATGAAAATCCTCTAAGTTGCTGTGAAACTGTATTTATGGTTAAGGAATGTTAGAACTTGGACCATCGCCAAATTTGCCATGTAAGGCTGTGTGAAGGATCAAAAATATTTAACTTCTGTGTATGTTTTATGTTTTATACTAGTTATAGTGTCATTCTACTATTCTCTCGTTGCGAATCTATTATATGGTCGACATCTGCAATATATCATATTGACAGCCATTGACAGAGTCTCATCGCTGCAAATGCCAACCAACTGTCAAATTGTAATTGAATTGTCTTAATATGAATCTCAAATCGAACTGTTATATATAAATACAGCCTAGTACTGAAAGTATCGGCAACAGACAATACATTGTGGAATGTGGTATGCAGTGCAAATCATCCATTGTTTAATTCGTACAATGCAGATGAAACGAACTACCACGATACGAAAAAGACAACAATTCCTTTTATTATTTCTATAAAAATCCATCTGAACTTAAGCGCTAAAGGCTATTATGATTTTAAAACCGTCGTGAATCGTGGTTCGGCAAGGCTACAAGTTGTTAGATTCTTTCTTAGATTCTGATTCAGAGTCGAATTTCTGGAAGGTTCTTTATCATTTTAATGCTTATGTCTCTAGCACGGCTTTTCAGGTGTTTAGTGTTTACCAGCTGCAGCAAGGACATTACATTGTTACCGAAC